CTGTGGAGTCCCCCAGGGATCACCAATTTCGCCATTACTATTTCTTCTGTATATGGCGGAGCCAATGAAAAGTGGTACCCCTGGATTGAGGTTTAGCTACGCGGACGACATTGGAATTCTAGGGTTTGGACGCACAATTGCTGAATCTGCCGCTGCTGTACAAGGTGAGACAGATCATCTTCTCGAATGGGCGCGGAATAATGCTGTTGACTTTGACACGGAAAACTCGGAAGTTATTCAATTTCCGGGACGACGCCGAGAGGAAGCAGTTGGTGTTCATGTTAACAGAGCCCTTATTGAGCCTGCGGAAAATATTCGCTGGTTAGGCATGAATCTGGATCCACGACTCAACTTTTAACATCATGTAACTACGTAGTGCGGTAAAGCGGTAAAAGTTGCCCAGCACATGCACCGTTTCAACTCTGCCTTTCGGGGAGCAGCTCCTGGGCCATTGACTAAGGCAGTAGACATGTGCGTTGTTTCGCTCGCAACTTTTGGATCTGATGTCTGGTGGCCAGGGTCCAAACGCCCGACCGTACGAGGAATAGTTTTCCTCAACCTCCAACCTCTGCGGCATGATTGATAGAGCGAACCTGATGGGATTGCGGGCTGCACTTCCAGTAATGAGGACAACACCAAATGTAATCTGTCACAGAGAAGGGGGAATCCCGCCGGCAAAGGTCATACTAGAGGGAAACCGTCTCCGGCTTTCGGCGAGGCTTAAGACCCTTGACGATCGACACCTTTTGAGGATCCGCGCTTCCGTGTGCCCGAATGTCGGCACCCGAAAATACAAAAAGTCTGCCAAGTCCTCAGCCAGACCGGAAATTCAGATGTCACAATTACAGCGTGCCTACCGAAAGCTTCCGGAAGCAGAGGCCCCTGAAAGTCTGATGCCGGTGGTGTACCTTAGGAATTCAGGCACAAAGCCGATGGAACGCGAATATTACGTTAGACGGATTAGCGACGTGCCAGAAACGGACATTTTTGCATACTCGGATGGTTCATCGGAAGGACACGGACGCTCCGCTTGGGGTTTCGTTCTGAGGAAGGATGGGAAACTCATCGAAAAAGGAAGTGGCATCAAGCACGGGGGAGAGGTGCTCGATGCAGAGATAATTGGAGCAAGGAAGACTCTGGAGGCCGCACTGGAATTCACGGAGGACGAGCAGTTCAGGAAAGGTGGAGTTATGTGGCAAATACACGTGTTTCTAGACAGCCAGCAGGCTGTAAGCGCATTAACGACAGGCTCGTCCTCAACTAGCCTAGAAGATGTACGCAAATTCCGTGCGTTATCTAATAAGGCTGAAATATCGGTGAAGTAGGTTCCAGGGCATGCAGGAATCCAAGGAAATGAAGAGGCAGACGCCATGGCCCGTGCAGCACTTCGAGAATTGCCTAGCCAGGAGACACCACCAGGATCATGTACTCTAGCATATCTACGTGGTCTCATGAATTGCAGACGACAGAGGCTGCTAGACGACTGGTGGGAAGAGGCCTGTCCGCCTAAATACCGCCAACTCAACCTACAGGTGCGGAGACGCAAACCACCCGAACTGTCTCTCTCTAGGCATCTCCTCCGGGCACTAATTGCAGCACGAACGGGTCACGGCAATTTTGCGGCATACCATCGCCGTTTTAATAATCCACACGCTCCTATGAAGTGTTCTTGCGGGAAGGAAACTACTCCAAACCACTTCATCCATTGTAGCCGCCACGCACAACAAACGCGTAGGCTCAGAAAGTCAATGTCCCACGTTGACTTTATCAAAAAGCTTCTCGGGCCAAAGTGACACAATAGCTTCAAAAAATTTGCGCAGGAAACCGGCTGTTTTGATAAACGACCTGGCCACTCATCCACTGCTCTCAGCGGAAATCAGATAAACTAGTCATTGCCACAACGCATGAGACGAAAGGAAACGAGGCGAGAAGTGTCGATTCTCTGAGGAAAGATTGCAGTAATTTAGAGTTAGGGGGAAAAGTAGTGATTTTTGATCTAGGAGTTGGAGTAGAGGTTGTCTGCATTGTAATTTACTTCCTACTATTTCTGTAGCGAGTCCAGCGGTTGGAATGAGTTGGGCCTGTAAGCAGTGATCCCCGCCGGCTCCACCAGTCTCGTACCGATAGTGGACCTAGAGCTGTAGCTTAGGACTTTAATATAGAAAACAAAACAGAATCGTACAACTCTTTACTGGATCATTGTGATCGATCGTGAAACCACACCGTAGTAATTCCAACAATTTGATTTTTTTTAATTTTAAATTTTAAATGAGGACCATTGTACATTTCCTTTGGTATTGAAAACCGTCCCCATAATTTTGACTTTCACGGAATATCGTTGGATAGTACCCCTGCTTGCTGACTAGTCGATAGACTAGACATGGGACTGCATGAAGACTAAACCAATCTAATCAATTTTCACAGGGATCCAACCCAAGTCATTTTGACAATTTTACCTTTGCCATCCTTAAGAGACTTTTTTTTTTTTTTTTTTTTTTATCATTTAATGTGTATTCAGCTATAGAGCTATGACACATGACCGGTACTATGTATACATGTGGGATGACTCTTTTGACCTTAGAGACACTCATACTCTGGATTTCATTTGCAAATACCACTATGAGGTATGTTTGCTTACACAAACAGTCGACCCTCCTCCGTTAGTACCCACCAAAGGGAATTTCAAAACCTTTGATTATCCAAGCATGCCTTCGTCATCCATGCATACCAGCGCCGCGAGAAATGTGATTGTGTTTTGCCGGATTCGAACCAGCGATCTGCTGTCTCAAGTGGGATATGTGTCCAAGCTATCCAGACTCTACTTGGCAGACCGGCCAAGACGATGTACCACCGCACCATCCAACCATGGCAGTGTTTATAGTGTCGCCTGCACTCTCGCAACCGAAGTCTTGGCACGCACAAAGCTCAATTTGTAAAAACTCCTTTCCAAATTTCAAAATTCCATGCCCGTCGAGACTGTATCCATCCTTCGCATCATCTTGTGAACTTGTCCTGAATCCTCTCACGTCCCTCCCAAAGAACAGTCTCCCATATTTGTGCGCCACGCTTTGCTTCCTCCGTCGGGTGTAAATATCGGCGTGGGCGTGTATTTGGTGACCGGCTGAGGCCGGAGAAGGTCGGCGAGAGGTATGGTCATTGGAATGAGGATGTACTAGGTCGTACTTGTAAACTTGATGAGGCTTAGGTAGGATTCGATCTTTTTTGGAATGAAAATTTGACGTGGTGGAGTTATTTGAATCATTGCCTCGTGGGCCAACTTGTTCGGTATTGCGAAATTTGACTGAACTTGGCTCTGGGAGAATATTTCACTCCCAGGTTCGTAGAGAGCACCACTGACAGGTGTTCAGTCTTGCCCTCCTCGCCACCCACTCGTCGCCGCCAAAATAGAAAAGTCTAAACATCGTCATCCCAGAGGCCTAGGCGCCAGTCCGCTTGAGCGACATAAACAAATCAGCGACTTCCGATATTTGTCCACTTTCACGGTCAGTTAGCGCAGTGGTCTCGTCCCCGACCTTCATGACGAAGAGGGGTATCAGGCTTGGATGCGTTAGTGACAGTACGGCGGAGACGGGCGGCAGCCAAGGGTTTTGATGGACTCCACCGTATTCCATTCTGGCCCTACACTTCAAGAGATACCCAGGACGCGTGCCAAACCCATTTCAGGCCAAGCAAAGTTTCTCTACAAGATGCTCAGCGATTTGAGCATTTCGTGCGCGGGGAGAGTGAGTGATACTTTGGCCTGAGGTCAGAAATAATTTTAAATGGTGGAGACCAGCACTATGCTTGCAGGACGATGCGGAACCACGACTATATGCGTGGATAATGTAAGAGTGTTAGCCTTGTACACTCACTCGTGTGGGCTACGAAATGGTTTCCCATAGACTACGAACTCAAAGCACGTCTTTAACCTTCAATCACTATATCCTATCAATTTGGTTGTGTAGAGTTTAAGTTTGTTGATTTAATTCTCGCCGAGAACTACGTAAGAATACCAACACGCAAATTTACTACCACACGACAATGATAGTAGTATAGGCAAATCTCAGTTTTGGCGCGACCCCCGCATTGTGTTCCGTGATCCGTATACACAACCCTACGACGGCACCCGAGCTGCATGGTGCCTGGATTAAGCACTAGTCCCCATGCATCGGCATTACCCGAAAATCATACCGGCAAACAGCTCTGAAATAGCTGTATGGACATCTTCCATATGTCTTCTCGGCCGGCCTTGGGACGCAGGAAAGAGTATGTGGCTGATGGGAACAAAATCTGAGAAGCCCATACGTATCTTGCAAGGTACGCCAGTATAGCTGCATGATGTGACAGTTTCTGTGCCAAGCTTTCAACCACGGCGAGCCTAGATAATGACTCGGACGGCTCCTCATGTGGGGCTTAAGGCAATTGGGGATGGAACATGCCGCACCTCGTATTAGAAATATTAAATCATCGGCAAGCCGAAGGAGCAAGTCCAAGGTGTAGCGGGCCGGCACGGCGGATGTTGACGCAGCCGCCTGCCTAATGTAGAATTCTAGGGCAATTCAAAGCCATCACTGAATGTACCCCCGACCCGACGCCGGCTGACCCCATTTTAATATTCTCTCGCTCGACGCGAAGCCAAGAATAGCAAACGCAGCATCACTGGTTCTAGGAAGACAGGTGCGCCTGATGGTGCGTGCGAGATTAAAATCTCCCAAACAGTCGGGACGCCAAGCACCGAGTTGAGGATGTGATCACTCGTGCAATTTCCGGTGCTGGGTATCGCCCTTGTCCGCTCGCTAGAGCAGCCTGCAGAGTCATGATTAGTGTTTCCGCCATCATCCTCGCCGGTGTTCCGTTGACTGCGTTGCTTCGAAAAGGCGCAACCTACCCAACGGAGATAATGGTTAACTCTGTTGCTGGCAGAGACTTGAAAACTTGAGTGTTGATGTTTCTTCAAAGTGCCTACGCCTGGATCTTCGTCGCTCATCGGGTTAACGTTTATGACCTCGGCGTACCAAGTAGCGATGCGCTTTTCCTCCTTTGCGATCGTGTCCGTCACTCTCTGCAGCCTTGTCTCCGCTTTCGTTCGTTCAACCAATACCCCATTGAAGAGCCACATGAAGGCGGATAACTATGTTGATCCAAAAAAAGTTTTGGTCTTCAATTGTGACGGAAAAATCTTTAGTTCGAGAAGAATCCGATCAGCAGCAAGAAGCGCCTGCAAGGTCATCAGGAAGAAGAATCGCAGCTTCTGGAACCCCAACAATTTGAACCTAAAAGTCTATGAAAGTTCAGTTAAAGTCGACACTATCGGTGACACAAATATAGTGAGCGTTGATAATACCTTTAGTTGGCCAATCAAAAGTGGAATCTACCGACTTCTTCCAGGTAGGAGCTGAATCCCAATCCACTATTTCTAAATTATGGTGCTCGTGGAAAATCAATATTTCAGTCACTGCACATAATCCCTCCTGTCGACTCAACTCACTGATCTATCTTTGCAGCGAAAAAAGGTCGTTATCGAATAATCTTGAACATACGATGTCGAGTTTTAAATCTCATGTATATCAAAAAAGGACAGTACAAAGCGTGCTCCCTCAAAACTTTGAGCCCCAAGACATGACCAAAAGAAGGTTTTAGTGAAGGCTAAACTATCAAGTCTAGCTGTAATGTTTTCATAAGACCAACCTCGCAATCTCTCTTTCGGCCTCTCGCTCGCTCGATATTTCAACCCGAGAACTTACGAGTCGGACACCAGAAATACCAATATGCTTGCACTTTCTGCAAGCTCATGCCCCAAGCTTCCAAGCCATAAATTTCATCTCACTGGCTAAGACGTAGTCATGACTACATCATGCTCCAATCGCCGATCGAGAACGTGGTCATTGATCGCGATGGGGGCCAACGCCTTGTTTGCTACTTGCAAAATATTTCAATTCAAGAAAAGATTCAGCTTAAAGGAGTAGCATTCAAAAAATAATCTACAAAATGTTTTTGTATTGTCAACAATTGCTCTCATGGCATGCGACGGCTAAAAATTTGCTAGTGTGAAAAACAAAAGGAAATAATAATTGGAGAGAGTACTCTGAGATCTCTGCCGGCTAACGAAGGGTATATTTATCGGCTCAACATTACGCAGACTCGCGCAATTGTTCGGCTTGGCCTGTGCCTGATCTATATTTAGTTCAACTGTAGGAGCTGTAGTCAGGAAGAAGCACGCCTGTGCCTACACCATTTATTCAGTATATCAACAGAATATAGCTACTTCAACTTCTATGGACAAATTTGGCCGTGTGAGATAATCCTAAACTCACAACATATTTTTAGCCATGATCTCCTGTATCTAATCCAATCAGTCTGTGTTTACGTCTAAACGTATCTTATTATTAACGAGCCAACCAGTTATGAGATTTTTTTCTATCACCTTTCAGGGGACCTAATATTTTGAGTTAGTAAATAAACTTTATCCTCTAAGATGTCCATTCATTTCTACAGTCGACTTGGCTCTAGATAAACTCTATCCATTTTTACTATGGTGTGCCTAACGTAATGTATACTAAGTTTTGGAAAATACAGCCAAGCAAACCACTTTGTCCACTAAAGAACTTTGATATTTTAACAAAACGCAAGATATAAATCTTGCAGCCTGAAAGGATTGGGTGATAACAAAAGTCTAGGAACAAACTTCACCACGGCTTAGTACGAAGAATTAAGGTCTTCATCAGTTAAAACTCAATATTAACCCTCTGTCGTTAGTTGAATAGCTGATTATCAAGTTTTGCGTGCAGTGTACTTGTTACAGCAAGTTACAGATGCTTAGTCTCGCCACTTAAAGCCACCAGTGTTGTAGGAAGCAAGTATCTTAAGTGTAAATTGCTCGCTCACACGCACGTGATCCGGACTTGGCGTGAAAAAACTGATTGTCAGTCCTGCTGACACATGTCATTATGCTTGGCGGTTCAAAATATACATCGCCATTCAATCTTTATAATCAGCATTCCTCCCTCTCCTCACCTCTGCTAATCCTCTCATAAACTAGACTCTATTGACGGGAGATAATCCGCTGATATTTACTTCTAGTGCCGATAGTCATCATTAGGGGCCACTTACTTTAAAAATCTGCAAACCTCCGAGAAGAGATTATCTAACAAATCTAACTTTCATGCCATTCAATATATTTATCACGCGTTTAATTTCTACGGTTCGTCGTCAAGGAAGTGATCACGTCAGCAGTATAGGACAACGGACCTAGGAACTGTATTACTGCCCTTGATTTTTCTGGTTGGTTAAGAATTGGCCGCAAAAGTACCAAGTCATTCGAGATCAGCTAGCAATTTCATGGCCTTTGGATGCAAAGATTGTGCTATTCATGTCAATATATCGTTTCAATCAAGCGTCTCTTATTAAGCGCCACTTTTCAAAGTCCTAGGTTCTCAGACATAGATCCAGACATAATTCTGGCCGAGAAAATAAAAGTCCTTGCCATTTCCTTTTTGGCTAACCCTACGCAAGCTGGAGATAACTCTCACGACGCTCCCTACTGTTCTTTCGCGTGATATTCTCCTAGAAATTAATCCCCTCTTTCATCCTCTCTTTTATCCCTCTACATGGCGTCCATAGCCTGGCATTTGTTCTTTCTTACACCGCTGGCATTGCCTTTTTCAAAGAGACCCCGTTCGCGGTCGCTCAAAATAGATATCCCCGGTATGTTTCCAAAGATCTTCATCTTCACAATCAAGGACCTCAATCGCCTAATTTTCAATGCCAGATTCGAGGACACTACCGAAATGTATCCTATCGTCGTCCTCCATATCCTTGGACTAGTTTTTTTATTTGTGGTATTTTACGCCTGTTTAGTACGGGTAGCAGTAGACACGCGCTAACCTTACTTAACAGTAGAGGATGCTTGAACTTGCTACTCTAGGGGCTGAGGCAGCCAACTATCTAATCATCAGATGGTCCCGAGGTACTAGTGGCTTGAGACTGCACACGCTCAACATCTGCCAGCCAGGAAGGCCAATTTATAGTTCAAATTAAAATTATGAGAGATTGTATAGTTTGTCAAGTCTCAACTACCACTCAGAATTTCATAATCTTGGAAACACGATCCTAAAATGCTATGTGGGTGACTTGGTATGAATAGGCTGTTGGAGAATTCTATAATTATTATTTTGATTCTGTTTACCTCGATTTGGAGCTCCAAGCGCTCATACAAGCGTCCATCAAGCTCTTTAATTTACACGCGTAGAAAGCTTGTAGTAAAATTCTCCTTGGCTATCTCATCTGGCTCTACGCCACCATAGATTTACCTTTAAGGAGCGCGCTTACACTGTTGAGGCCAGCGCAGACTCTATCCCAGCCGTGTCTTGATTATTTCCCACTTTAACCAATTATAGTTTGGATTTCTACGGTATTAAAGTTCTAGGGGGTATCTGGAATGATGGAAGTGAACGTTGACCGACAAGTCAATACTGTACGAATCGTAAGATATTGGGGATTTAAGGATCAGAGATAAAAGATTAGGATCAGTAAGGTTTTGGTTTTACTGAACTTATATTTCGGTAATTAAAAGTGTTAGTGTTTAATCTACATCTAATTGTCTATTTATGTTCTGATTACGTGATGGAATAACATTCACAACACCGAGATCATCACCAACCGAGACCTCACAAAAGCTGGTAGCAATCGAAGATGAGTAGTCTTCGTCTACTCCGCACTGCGTGCAGTTCGGTCTGGCATGTCTAGATTTTAACATACGGTATGTCAGAACTGCTCTGATCATATCTTGTGCGTTACTTGACATGCGTTGGAAAGATCCGGTCGTCGATTTTTGAAGAATTTTACTCTTCATGGCCTGTTTTGGGTAAGACGGCAGCACACGCTCGCTTCTTATATGACAATGCTACTCTGAGTCCTGCCGAGGTTTTGGTGGATTTCGACAGGGGTCTATCTGTTTGCTTGTCTTGTCCAAGTTTGCTGCTTTCCACAGACCGGGATCTGCCTGTGCCCAGAGACCCGAGCACTGCTGCTCTTGGTCCGTCTGAGGCCCTTTATATTCCTTGTACCCGGCGCTGCCTTCTATCCTCTTAGACTTGATGTTCTTGCATAAGAGGTCAAGTTCTGCCGTATTAGCTCTCCTGCTCTGATAGCGCCTATCAAATCTCCCTTTGTCATGAAGCCTAGGTTCAGTGCATGCAGAGAGTCTAGTCTGCTGGACAGTCTAGCTTGCTTGAAATTTGCTCCTCACGCTGGCTGAATTGGTGTAGATAAATCGAGACTTGGTGTTAAGGGACGGTACGCCGGCTTCTCGCAAACATATGTCGAAAATGATATTTATTATCTATCTAAAGGGAAAATAGCCCATATGGGATTTACCAGAGTGTAAAGACTACGCATCGCGTCGCATCCTGGACTTTACATAAGCAATTACGTAATCCTAACTAAATTAGGAATGACGCCTGTCGGGAGCCGGATAAACTCAGGTTCCATGTAAATGAGGCAGCAGCCTGTAACTCTTGGGTGTTTGTCAGGGAAGAAATGACTAAGTCCTCCCTGAAGGATCTCAGCTATTTTCAAATACAACGTCGCTTGTCTTTCTTCAGCCGATACTCATATTATATACTACGTAATCTCCCCATCCCGTCGTGCCAATAGAATGTGCCGTCTACTGTCAACATTCGATTTGATTTTGATTTTGATTGAATTTAACGTCGTGCCTATCTACAGCTCGTGACTACTGTCACGTACTGGACGGCCCGGTCCGTACAGAACTACCCGACGCTCTAGCGCGCACTACAACACCTAGAAATTACAGAAGAGTCCGACCACCTGTCCGCCAGCAGGGATACCTGTGACTCTGAGGTGATAGATCAAAGGCCTAGGTGGTTTGGCATGGACAGAGAGATTGGATTCGAGGCTCAGGCGCGTGGTGGCTGAGGCGGAACGATGGAAGGGAGATTTTTGAAGTTTTTCTTTTGTAATGCGGGATTTCGCGGGAAAGTTTTTGTTTTGTTTTCAATTTTGGGCTGCTGAATTCGTCATGGTTCAATACGTAGATGCATTTTGGCATGGTTCCGGTCATTTAGTTGGGACGAGGCATTTGTACTGCACGGTAGTTAACCTGATCCGGCCCGACCCCACTCGTGCTCAAGCTTCAGTAGGAGTGCGACGGTAGTTACTTCACCTAGAACGTTAATGAACAAACAAAACAAAACACCTGTCCGCCACATCAACTAGATCACACTATTCCCAATGACCACACCTCTCTTCGACCTTCTCTGGTCTCAGTTGACCACCAAATACACGCCCACGCCGATATTTATACCCGACGGAAGAAGCAAAGCGTGGCGCACAAATCTGGGAGACAGTTCTTTGGGATGGACGTGAGAGGGATCAGGACAAGATTACAAGATGATGCAAAGGAAGGATATAACCTTGAAGGGAGTGAAATTCCGAATTTTGGCAAGCAGTTTTACGAATTGAGCTTTGTGCGCGCCAAGACTTCGCTTGTGAGAGTGTAGCTGACACTATAAACACAAGCCAACGATGGAAGGTGTCGTGGTCCGCCTCCTGGTGGTGTTCTCTTGTATGGTTTGAGTAGCCTGGGCACCTACTCCACTTGGG